GGTCAATGGTTAGTGTAGGTCAATTTTACTTGAAAAGCAAGTCCAGACTTTATACCTGTAAGGACTAATACTGTCAGTTTTCAACTATGTGACTTTCGTTACACTGAAGGTGTTATGAACTGTTAATTGAAAGGTTCTTTGTAGGGCTGGGAAGGTGGCTCAGTGGTAGAGCGCTTGCCTTGCATGCATGAGGCCCTGGGTTCGATTCCTCAGCACCACATAAGCAGAAAAAAAAAAAAGTTGGAAGTGGCGCTGTGGCTCAAGTGGTAGAGTGCTAGCCTTGAGCTGAAGAGCTGAGGGACAGCACGCAGGCCCAGAGTTCAGGCCCCACGACCCCAAAAAAAGAAAGGTTCTTTGTAGTAATTTAAGGCAGTGGGAAGCAGAGTTCTTTCTGCAGGGCTTCTCAAGCCTTGCACATGTTGATATGTTGTGACTCTATCCAGCAAGGAGAATATATTTCTTTCATGTACTGTTTACTTAACCTATTTCTCTAACAAGATAGATAGTGCCTGGGCCTTCTCTAGAGAAATGGCAAATCCTCAAATTACAAATCCTGTCCTATCTTACTATCTTTATTTCTGGTGTTTACCTGATAGCATTAAAGAGTATGTACAATACTATTGCAAGGTTGTATGAAGCTTTTTTTTTTTTTTAATTTTTTGAGTCCAGTCCTGGAGCTTGAATTTAGCTTGACTTTAGGACCTAGACAACGTCTCTGAGATTCTTATGCTCAAGGCTAGGCTTCTACTAGTAGAACCACAGCTCCACTTTTGTGATTAATTGGAGGTAAGAGTCTCATGGACTTTCCTGCCTGGTTTAGATCTGATCCTCAGATCTCAGCTTCCTGAGTAGCTAGGATTACAGGTGTGAGCCATTGTTGCCCAGCCTAAAGCTTATTTTTGAGAGTATCTTTTGAGTGTGGTTATGTGGTGAGCATTTTGGGATCCCAGTATGTTTAAATATCTTCCTTTGTTCTGCACAGAATTTTGTGTGATATGACTCAGTTTGATATAAAATTATATAAGATCTTGGGGGACATATAGATAGGAATACCTATTTCAGTAGTATGTCCTTTAAATCTTAGGCAGTTAAGTTGCTATTGCTGTAAATATAATTGGCTGTGAGCAAGTTAAATTGGAAAACATTAATTGCAAAAGAAAACAACTTCTTCCCTAACTTGGGGGGGAGTAGGGAATACAGCTTTTGCATATGACAGTTTGTACCAAAACAAACCTACAGGGGAAATTAACCCTGACAAAGTCTTTGACACAAGTATTGCCTTGTTTTAGATCTGTTTGTTTTCCCCCAGTGCTACTGGGTTTAAACTCTGAGGTTCACACTTGTCAAGTAGACTGTGTGGCTGAGCCATGCCTCCAGCCCCATGCCCTCAATCCCAAGATCTGATTGCTAGTGTGCTATATGCTGTATACTGCGCCAGCCCAGAGCAATCTAAGCCTTCACAGTTGTGTTCCTCTGGCACTCTCCTAATTTAAATCTTCGGCACCTAACATGGGTATGTCATATCTATAATCCTAGATACTCAAGAGGCCAAGATCTGAACATCATAGTTTGAAGCCAGCTATGGCAGAAAAGTTCATTTGCTGTTTATTTTTGTTTTTATGTTTTGGTTAGTTGTGAGGCTTGAACTCAGGGTCTGGTTGCTGTCCCTGAGCTCTTTTGTGCGAGGCTAGCATTCCACTTTGAACCACAGGGCTACTTCTGGTTTTCTGGTGGGACTTTTCAGCCCAGGCTGTCTTTGAACTGTGAGCCTCAGATCTCAGCCTCCTGAGATCTGATTACAGGCGTGAACCACTGGTGCCCCAAGGACTTTTTTATTTTTTGCCAATTCTGAGGCTTGAACTCAGGGCATGGGCATTGTTCCTGAGCTTCTTTTGCTCAAGGCTAGCACTCTACCACTTGAGCTACAGTGCCACTTCTAGCTTTTTCTGTGTATGTGGTACTGAGGAATCAAACCCAGGGCTTCATGCATGCTAGGCAAGCACTCTACCACTAAGCCACATTTCCAGCCTGTTTATTTTTAATTTATTAAGAATAGGCTCTTGTAACTGGGTGCTGGTTGCTCATGCCTGTAATCTCAGCTACTCAGGAGGCTGAGATCTGAGGATCAGAGTTCAAAGCCAGCCCAGGCAAGAAAAGCTGTGAAACTATTTATCTCCAATAAACCACCAGAAAACCGGAAGTGGTGCTGTGGCTCAAGTGATAAAGAGCTACCGTGAGCTGAAGAGCAGAGGGGCAGTGCCCAGGCCCAGAGTTCAAGCCCCATGACCAACCAAAAAAAAAAAAAAAGAAGGAAAGAAAAAAGAAGGAAGGAAGGAAAAGAAAAGAGGAATTGGCGCTGTGGCTCAAGCAGTAGAGTGCTCGCCTTGAGCTGAAGAGTGCAGGGACTGCGCCCAAGCCCAGAGTTCAAGCCCCACGACCAACCAAAACAAAAAAGGAAAGAAAGAAAGAAACAATAGGCTTTTAAACTGGGTGCTGGTGGCTCATGCCTGTAATCCTAGCTACTCAGGAGACTGAGATGAGGATCGAGGTTCAAAGCCAGACCACAGGAAAAGTCTCTGAGGCTCTTCTCTCCAATAAATCACCAGAAAACTGGAAATGGTGCTGTGGCTCAGGTGGTAGAGCACTCACCTTGAGCTGAAGAGCTGAGGGATAGAGCCCAGGCTGAGTTCAAGTCTCATAACCAAAAAAAAAAAAAAGCTTTTGCTGGACATTGGTGGCTCATGCCTGTAATCCTAGCTTCTCAGGAGGCTGAGATGAGATCTATGAGTTATGGTTTGAAGCCAGTCCAAGCAAAAAAGTCCTTATGACTCAAACACCAAAAAGGATGTAAGTAGAGCTGTGGCTCAAATGATAGAACACTATCCTGGAGCACTATAGCTCAGGGATAGCACCTAGGCCCTGAGTTCTAGCCCCAGGACCAGGAAAAAAAAAAAAGTAAGCCGGGCGCTGGTGGCTCACGCCTGTAATCCTAGCTACTCAGGAGGCTGAGATCTGAGGATCGCGGTTCAAAGCCAGCCGGGGCAGGAGAGACCGTGAGACTCCTATCTCCAATAAACCACCAGAAAACCAGAAGTGGCGCTGTAGCTCAAATGGTAGAGCACTCGCCTTGAGCTGAAGAGCTGAGGGACAGCGCCCAGGCCCAGAGTTCAAGCCCCACGACCGACAAACAAAAAAAAAAAAAAAAATAGAGCCTAGGACTCTATTCTCAACTGGTAGAATGCCTGCCTAGTAAGCAGGAGGTCCTCAGTTCATATCTCAGTGATGAGGGAGGAGTGTGACCAGTACTTGGTACTAATGGCCTATTTTATTAGCTCATACGTTTTGATTATATTTGATAGATAGCTCAAAGACTTTTATTGCCTTCCCTTATGTTTACTTGTATTTGAAATGGGACAATTACTTAGAAAAAATGAATGGACGGTCATAATCTTATGTTGGTAAGAAAGTGGCCTTTCAGTCAATAACTTTAACAAATCTTTCCATGTGTGTTTGTATGTATTTTATTTGTATAGCACTCTCAACTTTGAACTTTGAGCTTGTTCGCTCACAGTTGTTCATTTGAGCCATGCCTGCAGTCTAGCATTCTGCTGGCTAATCTTTTTTAATTAATCAATTAATTTTTAATTTTTTTGCCAGTCATGGTGCCCAAACTCTGAGCCTGGGCACTGTCCCTCAGCTCTTCAGCTCAAGGCTAGTGCTCTACCACTTGAGCCACAGCGCCACTTCCAGCTTTTTCTGCTTATGTGGTGCTGGGGAATCAAACCCAGGGCCTCATGTATGCAAGGCAAGCACTCTACCTCTGAGCCACCTTCCCAGCCCCTCTGCTGGCGTATTGAAGATTAAGTTTTTTATTTTTTATTTTTTGTCTTGACTGGTTTTGAACAAAGATCCTCTAATCTCCTTTTTCTGAGTAGCTAAGAGTACAATTGTCTGGCTACCAATAATAGTTTTAGAAAATACATTGGGTGGAGGCAAGTATGGAATTAAGTGTTAAACTATTTGGATCACTTGGTAAACTAACGGTGAAATTAAGGTGATCACTAGAATCACCACAAAAAATTAAGTTCACCTGGCTTGTGTTCTTTGGAAATAGTTGCTACAGATAATATCCCAAGGCCGTGTTTATCAATCTTCCCTCCATGTTAACCATTTATTATGCATCCCTTCCAGCTGCCCCTGCTCCCACATTAGGAAAATCATGTTGGAAGAGTTAACTCAAGGGTACTGTGTGCTTCTCTTCGCTGAATTCTTGGTTTATGTATTTGTTTTTATTTATAGTTAGAAATGTCCTTTTTAAAAAAAATTAGATCTGGCTATGGTTACTTTTGGTTTCTGTTTATAGTTCCTGTGACTTTTTTGTACTCATGCCTTTTTATGCCTAGTATTCCTGACAATTAACCAGTTATCAATGAGCTGAGCTTTGAAGTGGTACTTTGTGGCTGAGTGACTACGAAGCTTTATTCTCAGCTCCTTCTCTCTGTTTTAAGAACAGAGAGATTGGGCTGGGAAGGTGGCTTAGTGGTAGAGCACTTGCCTTGCATGCATGAGACCCTCGGTTCAATTCCTCAGCACAACATAAGCAAAAAGAAAAAAGCCGGAAGTGGCTCTGTGGCTCAAGCGGTAGAGCGCTAGCCTTGAGCTGAAGAGCTGAGGGACAGCGCCCAGGCCCAGAGTTCAGGCCCCACAACTGGACCCCCCCCCCAAAAAAAAAAAAAAAACACAAGAACAGAGATTTGGGGAAATCCTGCATGTAATGGTGCTAACCTCACTCCCTCTGCAACTTCTGACTGGTATAAAATGTGAAACTACTACAGTATTCTCACTGTCCTAGGAAAGAGAGCTCTGAGAAGTAGAAGGAAGATCACCTTCACAAAGTCAGTTTCCTTAAGTAGCTAATTTTTAAAAAATGAATAAATACTCAACATTGTCTGTTTGGTTCACTGTGCTTTCTCTTCCTTTAGTCCCCCAGGTTCGCCTAATAGTCTTGGCTACTTCCCAACAGCTGCTAATCTTAGCGGTGTTCCTCCGCAGCCTGGCACGGTGGTCAGAATGCAGGGCCTGGCCTACAATACTGGAGTTAAGGAAATTCTTAACTTCTTCCAAGGTTACCAGGTTAGTAGACTGAAGAAGAAAAATACTCAGTGCCCTTTTTATTGAATTCATTTGCCCTAAGAATGTAGCCAGGAAAGAAACTGATTTTCTGAAACTCTTGTATGTGTGTGTGGTAATGGATTTGCTTATGGGTCCTTGCTGAGGGGCATATATGAAATTGATCCTCTTGGTAAGATTCCAGGCTTTTCAGGCTGTTTTAATGGTTTTCACATAATCTTTTGATGTTTGTGGTTATTATTGTTTCGATACTTGTGCTGGTTTTGGAAAATGTTTTAGGACATCTAACAGTACAAGCATTTTCATCAGGAATACTACCTTAGAAAAGCATTTGTCCAGTATATACAGTTTCCTGGGTTCTACCCCCCTACTTGCTAGTTTGTTTTTAAAAGTATTTTGTATTTACAAATCAAAGATTTTGTCTCACCTAGAAAAGAGGGGGAAAAAAGAACCACAAGTAAACATTGCCTAATTCCTTTTTGTTGTTGTTGGTGGTGGTTTTGTGTGTGTATGTGGTGCTAGTCCTGGGGCTTGAACCCCAGGCGTAAGCGCTGATCCTAAGCTGCTTTTGCTCAAGGCTAGTGCTCTACCACTTGAGTCACAGCTTTACTTACAGTCTTTATTTATTTTTTGCTTTTGCTCTTGGCAGTTGAGTAGCGATAAGAGTCGTAGACTTGACTTTCCTGCTTGGGCTGACTTTAAACTGCATTCCTCAGATCTCAACCTCCTAAGTAGCTATTATTACAAGTGTGAGGCATCAGCACCCAGCCACATTACCTAATTCATTGGAGAGGCTCACTTGGGTCCTTAGAATGAGCTCTGGAGTATTTGATGACCCTCCTATGAAATTATTAATGCTAGTGAAGCTACATTTGCTTTGGTCAGTTACTTTCTACCATTGCTGCACCCCTCAACTGATGCATGACAAGCTAAAAAAATGGTACATTTTAAAATAAGATTTTTTAACAAGACAGTGAAAAATGTCTGCTAATTGCCAATTTAATTGAGTAGATACTTTTTTTCCTTATATCAATTACCTACCTTTCTTACATCAGTTACCTGATACCAAAATTCCCTATCCCTCAATGTTGAAAAATAATCTGTATTCTTTCTATTGTCTTCCTTTTTCTACTGTTATGTCTTCTCTCCTCTTGGAGCTGAAGTTAGCTTGAGTCATTTATGTTGAGATGTTCTAGAAAACATAGTGAAATCCTAAAACCATTGGAGCATTTGCAGCATAGTGTGTAAGAGCTGTGTCTGCCATTTCACAGTTAGAATGGACTAGGTTTATGAATTTTTTATTCATGAGTAGAGGGAGTATGGTCAATTAAAATTATCTCTACCTCTGTATATCACCTTTACAATAAAAACTTAAACAATAAAATTATCTCTGATGAAGCTAGTGCCCCAAACCTACTAAGTTTCTGTAATTGTCTTAAGGACGTTCAATATAAACAGAATATTTTCTGACAAGTGAAGAGAGTTGGTAGTACACTGATAGTACAAAGTTGAAGGTGGACAAGTTACTTTTTCTTTTTTTTGCTGGTCCTGGAGCTTGCACTCAGGGCCTGGGCTCTGTTTCTGAACCTCTCTGTTCTCAAGGCTAGCGCTCTACCACTTGAGTCACAACACCACTTCTGGCTTTTTCTACTTATGTGGTACTGAGGAACTGAACCCAGGGCTTCATGCATGCTAGCCAAGTACTCTACCAACTAAGCCACATTCTCAGCCCTTTCATTACTGCCTGACTTAGCACATTCTTAATCTAAGAAGTGAAATTCTTATTAATTCTAAAAGTTTCTTTGAGAAGTCAGTAGAGCTGGGTGATGGTGGCTCAAGTCCGTAATTCCTAGATACTTAGGAGGCTGAGATCTGAGGATCACAATTGGAAGCTAGCCCAGGCAAGAAAGTCTGTGAGACTTTTTATCTCTAATTAAGCAGCAAAAGGAAAGCCAGAAGTGGAGTGGTGGCTCAAGTGGTAGAGTGCTAGCCTTGAGCATAAACGTTCAGGGACAGTGCTCAGGACCTATGTTCAAGCCTTGGTACCAGCAAAAGAAATCAGTGGTGTTAGATATTTTATTCTTAAATAATTATGTTGTCTTTGGAGGATCTTTAAAGGGGAAAAATTATCTTTCTTCATATCTGATTTGTTAGAATATAAATTTTGCAAAAGTTAATTAAAATGGCTACTTAATTTCCTAGAGAAAACATTTTATTTACTTTTTATTTTTCTACTGTAGGAAGTCCAAGCAATATTTGAATTTGAATTTTCAGTGAGATTAATTTCTTTTGATTAATTTATGTTCACACTTAGTAAACTTAAGCAATCTTACACATAAGTTAGCAGTTTATGCATAATTTTATTAAGCAAAATTGCAGTTATGAAGAGAATGTCATTGCTGGCATTTGTCAGTATTTTCCACAAACATAATCGTGTATTTCTAAATTTGTGACTAAATACCTGATGTGTCCAAAAAGTGAGATAAAATGATATTTGTAACAGTTACTGGTTTTACTTGCTTCTAGAGTCATTTAAGTTTAGAGTTATTTGGTATTATCAGAAGTACAAAGTTTGTCAAGTTATTTGGCCTTCTTTTTTTTTTTTTTTGGTGGTGGTAGTGGGCTTGAACTCTGGGCCTGGGTGTTCTCCCTGAGCTCTTAAGCTCAAGGCTAGTGCTCTACCACTTGAGCCACTTCTGGTTTTCTGGCACCAGGCTTTGGCCTTCATTTTTGGAGTGCTTCAATTTTATACATTGGATCAGTGAATTAGGATTAATTGAAACTTCAATTACCTCATCTTATATGTTAAATTATTAGTGTATCTGCCTTTAATAATTGAAGCTATGAGGAATGATTTAGGTTCACTTAAGTATGGTAATTATATTAAAAAGCAAATATCCAGGAAGTAATTGGTCAAATGAATGAAATTTGTTCATAATCTCTGATTCTGTATTTTAAAAGATAGTAGAATTTGGGTGCCAATCCTGATTATTCAGGAGGCTAAAACCTAGAGAGGTTCTTTGAGGCCAGCCCAGAAAGAAGAGTCCAAGTAGCACCAAACTGAATAGCAAAAAGCCAGGAGAGCCGGTCACTGACGGCTCCCGCCTATAATCATTGCTACTCAGGAGATTGAGATCTGAAGATCAAAGTTGAGATCTGGTTCAAAGCCAGCCTGGGCAGCAAAGTCCATGAGACTCTTTCTTTCTTTTTTTTGGTTGGTCCTGGGCTTGATTGAACTCTGTGCCTGGGTGCTGTCCCTCAGCTCTTCAGCTCAAGGCGAGTGCTCTACCACTTGAGCCACAGCGCACTTCCGGTTTTCTGGTGGTTTATTGGAGATAGGAGTCTCGCGGTCTTTCCTGCCCAGGCTGGCTTTGAACCACGATCCTCAGATCTCAGCCTCCTGAGTAGCTAGGATTACAGGCGTGAGCCACCAGCACCCGGTGAGACTCTTATCTCTAGTTAACCACCAGAAAACTGGAAATGGCGCTGTGGTTCAAGTTAGTAGAGTGCTGCCTTGAGCTGAAGTGCTCAGGGACATCACCCAGGCCCAGAGTTCAAGTCCCACAATCAAAAATAAGGCCAAATAATTTAACAAATTTTATACTTTTGATTATATCAAATAACTCTAAATGACTCTAGAAGAAACTAAAACCAGGGGCTGGGAAGGTGGCTCAGCGGTAGAGCGCTTGCCTTGCATGCATGAGGCCCTGGGTTCCATTCCTCAGCACCACATAAGCAAAAAAGAAAAAAGTCAGAAGTGGTGCTGTGGCTCAAGTGGTAGAGTGCTACCCTTGAGCTGAAGAGCTGAGGGACAGTGCCTAGGCCCAGAGTTCAGGCACCACAACCAGACACAAAAAAAAAAGAAACTAAAACCAGTAACTGTTAAGAAATACCATTTTATCTCATTTTTCGGACCCATCAGGTTTTTAGAGTTCAATCCCCAAACACAAAAACCAACCCCCCCAAAAAACACAAAAAACAAACACAGAACACCCCCAAACCCAACTAAATGTAGTAATAAAATGCACCGTTCTGTAAAGTACATTAAATTTTTTGATGTATTCTTTCCTACCTTCTTTAAAATTCTTTTAAAACTACTCTAACTGTGTTTTCCATATGTCATTGGGTTCCGTGGCCAGAAAGAGGGATTGTTACAGAGAGATGGATTCTACTGGTTGAATTAGGATATGGGGCTTAGATTCTGCCATTAAACTTGCTACCATAGCTGAGCATGGTGTCATATACCTGTAATCCCATAATTTAGGAGGCTGATCGAAATTAGAGGCCAGGCTGAGCCATGTAGCAGCCTCTGGTCTCAAAACAAAATCTGTCGCCTTACCTGAGTTAGTTCTATTTGACTAGTGAGCTCAACAGAATTTTTGTTGTTGTTGGTCGTGGGGCCTGAACTCAGGGCCTGGGTGCTGTCCCTGAGCTCTTCAGCTCAAGGCAAGTGCTCTACCACTTGAGCTACAGAACTGCTTTCCGTTTTCTGGTGGTTAATTGGAGTTAAGAGTCTCATGGACTTTCCTGCCGAGACTGGCTTTGAACTGTGATCCTCAGATCTCAGCCTCCTGAGTAGCTAGGATTACAGGCATGAGCCCCTGGCTGCCAGGTAAGAACAGAATTTTATGATAATCAAGTGTCTTGAAAGTACTTGTCAATTAAGGGCATCATCTTCTTCAGTAAAATATCTTTGTGTGCCTATTTTAGTTGATGGACTTATTATTCTGAATGGCTTATCAGGTATCCTTATATTATTTCTTTAATTTTTCTCATTTGCTCTTTGTATTATCCTTTACTAACAATGTCTTTGCATTTCTGATAAATGTTGTTTTTTTGTTTTTTGGGTCCGGTCATGGGGCCTGAACTCTGGGCCTGGGCGCTGTCCCTCAGCTCTTCAGCTCAAGGCTAGCGCTCTACCACTTGAGCCACAGCACCACTTCTGGCTTTTTTCTTTTTGCTTATGTGGTGCTGAGGAATCGAACCCAGGGCCTCATGCATGCAAGGCAAGTGCTCTACTACTGAGCCACCTTCCCAGCCCCTAAGGGTTGGTTTTTGTTTATGGTCAAAGTTCTGACTTTAATTATAGTATTTTTTGTTACTTCTAAGATTTTTTATTTGGTGCCCAAATAAGATAACTAGATTGAAATTTCAAATACATTATAATACCACTTAAAATTCCTAAGGTTATTGGGCAGTATGGAATACTGGGGCTTATTATATAATAGATGCTCCAATTATGATTTCCAGTCATACACTGTACTATCTTCTTTTCTGTTGGTCATGGGGCTTGAACTCAAGGTCTGGGCACTGTCCCTGAGTTTTTTTGTTTTGTGGTTTTTTGCTCAAGGCTAGTTTTCTATCACTGAGCTACAGTACCACTTCTTTGGAAATAAGAGTCTCATGAACTTTTCTGCCCTTGCTGGCTTTGAACTGCAGTCCTCAAACTTCAGCCTCCTGACTAGTGAAGATTATAGCATGAGTCACTATTTTTTCTAACAAAGAAAAAAGTCTTCTTGTGGAAACTGTACTATTAACGATGTCTATAGGTTTGCTCTTTTAAAACTTTCTGGGTTGGTGGTGTTTTTATTTTTCTAATGCATGTGTCCAGTCTAACTTCTCTTCCTGAGGTGATTTTGATAGTTTTTTTTTTTTTATGTTAAGTAAGGAATGAAGATTTTGAATGAACTGTTACATATGTGGTATGTGCCTATTTTTTTCTACAGTCTAAATGTTTTATACTTTTGCTGGAAATTTAACTGAGATATCATCCAGAGTGACAGGTTGTCCATCTTTTCATCCTGTTTATTTTAATTTGCATTTTAGTATGCAACCGAGGATGGACTTGTACACACAAATGACCAGGCCAGGACTCTACCCAAAGAATGGGTTTGTATTTAAGGGCCCCAGCAGTTATACCATCCTCAGAAAAGAAGGTAAGGCTGTACACATGCAAGCTGAATTATAAAGGTCCAAATAGGCTATAAAGCTGAAGATATTTTAGGGGCTAGATGAGAGGGTCCTCTTTTTTTTTTTTAATGTATATTAAACCTAGAAGGACTGGAGATTGAAATTAAGTTTGTCATTTGAAAAAAACCCTATTATAAGCAACATATAAATGCGAGTTGTCCTTTATTTTGGGATAAGGAGAAAACATTTGGACATTCATTTAGTCTACCATGTGAAATATAAATTGGGCATTTTTTTAAAGGAAAAAAAAGACGTAAATTTGATATAACATAAAATTAGCCATTTAAAAGTGTACAGTTCAGCCGTGGAGTAGTTCCACATGTCTTTTCCTGAGTCATCTTTTTTTTTTTTTTGGTCATGGGGCTTGAATTGTAGGCTTGGGCACTGTACCTGAGCTCAAAGTGAGGGCTCAACCACTTGAGCCACAGCACCACTTCCAGTTTTCTGGTCGTTAATTGGAGATAAGAGTCTCACAGACTTTCCTGACCAGGCTGGCTTTGAACCATGATCCTCAGATCTCAGCCTCCTGCGTAGCTAGGATCACAGGCTTGAGCCACCAGCACCTGGCCTTTTTTTTGCTTTTCCCCATGCCATCCAGGAGCTTGAACTCAGAGCCCTGGCCCTGGCCCTGAGCTTTTCTTCTAAAAGCTAGAACCACAGCTCCACTTGTGTTTTCTGCTTGTTTGTTTGTTTGTTTAATGGTTAATTGGAGGTAAGAGTCTCATAGACTTCCCTGCCTTGGCTAGCTTTCAACCATGATCCTCAGATCTCCCTGTGGTTGGATGTACCTGTGTTTTGTGTACATATATACACATGACGTACCTTTCTCTGTGAAATGAGCATAAAATCACTTGCTACGTATGTGGCTTAACGGAATGTCTTGAGAATCAGGTGGATTAATAAATCTAAGTTTGTTCCTTGGGGTGGGAAGGTAGCTCTGTGATAAAGTGCTTGCCTTGCATGAATGAGGCCTTGCGTTCGATTCTTCAGTACCACATAAGTAGAAAAGGCCAGACGTGGTACAGTGGCTCAAGCGGTAGAGTGCTAGCCTTGAGCTGAAGAGCTGAGGGACAGTCCCCAGGCCCAGAGTTCAGGCCCCACGACCAACCAAAAAAAAAGTTTGTTCCTTTATTCACTATTATTTAAGGCATAGACATAATTAAGATTTCACCGGCATTTCTAGGTTACAGCTCATGAGTCCACATGGCATTGGGTATCCTGTCTCCTTAGAGGCTTCTGCTCTATGTTACTCATTCTTTCCTTGTTTTTCATGACTGTCTCACTTTTGAGTTATATTGAAGTATTTTGTGGGCTGACTTTCAATTTATATTTGTTTTATGTTTTTCTTTTGGTGAAACTTATATGAATGAAGATCAGACAGGTTAAGTGTGCTCTTTTCAAGTCATATGACATCAGAAATATGTGATACACGTGACATTATCATTATTGGTGAAGTTGACCTTCGTTTTTTGGTTGAGATCATGCTTTCTAGCTTTCAACCACAAAACCCTTACTTTTTTATTTATTTTTTTTAAATTTTTGGTCATGGTGCTTAACTCTAGGCCTGGGCACTGGCCTTGAGCTGAAGAGCTAGTGCTCTACCACTTGAGCCACAGAGCCACTTTCAGTTTTCTGGTGGTTTTATTGGAGTTAAGAGTCGTAAGGATGTTCTTGCCCGGCCTGGCTTTGAATAGTGATCCTCAGATCTCAGCCTTTGAGTAGTTAGGATTACAGGCGTGAGCCACCGGTGCCTGGCATAACCCTTACTTTTTGAATGCAGTCTACTTTCACTAGGGGAATGTTTACTTATGAAATAGCATTAGAATTTTTTTTTTTTTTTTGCCGGTCATGGGGCCTAAACTCTGGGCCTAGGCACTGTCCCTCAGCTCTTCAGCTCAAGGTTAAGACTCTACCCCTTGAGCCATAGGGCCACTTCCAGCTTTTTCTGTTTATGTGGTGCTGAGGATTCGAACCCAGAGCCTCATGCATGCAAGGCAAGCACTGAGCTACCTTCCCAGCCCCAGCTTTAGAAATTTTCCACAAGGATAATTTCTATCCCCTGCTCCTAATATTATTTACCTACAATATGGATTTATGCTTTTTTATTTGATACAAAAATATAAAAATTCAATTTCTGTATTGAATACTGTTATGTTTATAAAATCTTATGCAAGGTGATTTAAAAAAATGAAGAGTTTTTCCACTGTGTCTCATTTGCCTTTTTTCCATGTAGATCCAGTAAAACTGAGGCCAAAACTATTAAAATATGTGATCAAACAGTAGTGTCCTTGAAGTGTAAAATTTGGATTACTTTTATGATTTGAAAGTGATTTCTTTTATAGTTTCTAACAAAAAGATTTTAATAATAGGTATCTTTTGGCCAAGAAATATCTTAAAATTAAGCATTCTTAGGCTGGAAGTGTGGCTCAAGTGGTAGAATATTTTTACCACATTAATATTTGAATATTGAATATTTGAATTGAATATTTCTACTACAAGACCCTTAGTTCAAACCCCAGTGCCAACAAGAAATGAAGCATGTAGGTCATGGGGCTTGAAGTCTCAGCCTGGGCGCTGTCCTTGAGGTCTTCAGCTCAAGGTGAGCACTCTACCACTTGAGCCACAGCTCCAATTCTGGTTTTCTGGTGGTTAATTGAAGATAAGAGTCTCACTGACTTTCCTGCCCAGTCTGGCTTTGAACCTCAATCCTCAGCCTCCTGAGTAGCTAGGATTTCAGGCGTGAGCCACCGGTGTCCGGCCCACTTTCAGATTTTTGGTGTTTAATTGGAGATAAGAGTCTCACAGACTTTCTTGCCTGTTCTGGCTTCCTACCTCTTTCCTCAGATCTCAGCTTCCTGAGTAGCTAGGATTATAGGTGTGAGCCATGAGCAGCTCTCTAGCTGTGTCCAGCTATTTTAAACAATATAAAACTCTTATGTATATAAATACTTTTAATGTCAATTTATTATAAACTAAAAGTTTGTGTTGTTTTATTTGTTTGTTTGTTTGGTCTGTCATGGGGCTTGAACTCAAGGCCTAGGTGCTGTCCCTGAGTTCTTTTACTCAAGGCTAGTGCTCTACCACTTTGAGCCACAGTGTCACTTCTGGTTTTTGAGTGGTTAATTGGGTATAAGAGTATCACAGGAACTTTACTGCCTTGTCTGGCTTGGAACATCAGTCCTTAGATCTCAGCCTTCTGAGTGGCTAGGATTATAAATGTGAGCCACTAGTGTTGGCTATAAAATAATTTTAACACATATCTTATTAGGAAGAAAAGGTAGAAATTGTCTTTGTGTTAAGGTTTTTAGTGTAGGAAGCAAAACAATTTCTCATCCTTTTATGATTCTCTTTTCTCTTTCTCCCTTCCCTTCTCTCCCTTTATCTCTCCCCCTCCCCAACACCCTCTGCCATGCAGTTAGGAGCCTGCCGCTTCATTCCCAAATTCTAAAAGTTCGTTGGTTACTACTGAGATTAAGATGCAGGTCTGGGGCTTTAACTTCTTTAAAACAAATTCTAACCTTTGTAACATAACTACATTGTAACATTGTACAAAGCACCTACAAAGGTGTTCCCCAGTATAGTATAATGGATTAACAAGGAGGAAGATAGAACTCACAGGCATAACTGGAGGGCCAGGGCTGACTGACTTAGCTGGACTATTCTCAGCCAAGTTTTCCATGAGGTCCGCATGGCAACACCTGATTTATAGGTCCAGAAACAAGCCAGGAATTGTGACTTCATAGCTTATCTCTATCTCTGAAACCACAATGGCCAGAACTAGGCAGGGCTCCCCCTTTGCTTGCTGGGTTGTGCCTTCCGTTCAGTGGTAAAATGGCCTCTCTATGGGCTTGAGATGAAGTGAAGTGACAGACATTTCTTTAAGGAAAATTAAGATACTGTTGCCTATGGAAGATAAAAAGTAGGCAACAGTGTTGAGTAATTGATAGAGCTTTCTTATCTGCATTTGTATGTATTCGAGGAAAAGCATTTCAGTTGTAACCTGATGGCTAAATTATTGTCACCTTATAAACCACTACCAGTATTTCAGTACTTTTTAGACATTTGCTTACCGTTTATAGAATCTCTCACTAAAATAAAATTAGTCTTGACCATATTTCAAAATGGCCATATAAGACTTTGCTCTGAAAAGCTGTTTCCATTTCAATCTTCATCCCTCATTCTCATTTGCATGTGCAGGGCTGTACAGTGTCTAGCTAAAATAAAGTTTTCAATTTAAGTTTTCTGTGTGCATATTATGTAAATTAAACAGCATAGAGGATCCTATCTAATATTTCACATCCTAGATCTGTTTACTAAAAGCATCTGTTGTTATTGGAGAGAATTAGGTCTGGGACCAGCATGGTTTAAAGTGCTTATAGTATTTTCTTCTAATGTATACACATCTTCTTGTAGTTTTTGAATTAGCTCTAGACAATACGATGTGAATATTATGTTACTAGTTGTAGTGTTTGGTTTTATTGGGGGAGGGCAGGGGAGTGGATAAGGGACAAGAATGGCTCACACCTGTAATAAAGAGATTTGGAGGATCATGGTTTGAGGGCAGAAAAGATTATGAGCCTCTATACCCAAAAACAACCAGCAAAAAGCCAAGTTGAAGGCATGACTTAAGTGGTGGAATGTCAAACAAGTAAGCTCAGAGATAATGAGGCCCTGGTTTCAAACCTCAGTACTGGGGTAGAAGGGGAAGTATTTATAAGCTGCTGCATGAGTTTAGAAAATTAGAGAATATGGATATCAAGATCTACTGTCAATTGTTCTCTGCTTAAATTTTCCTATTTCAAAATATCTAGAGGGATTTGAGATATAACTTTGTGATAGAGCACTGGCTTAACATATGTGAGGACCAGGGTTTGACCCCCAGCACCATATTAAATGAAGTGGGGGTAGGATGATCTAAACAGCTGTATTTTAGAATGAAATAATACTGATCAATGTAAACCAATCACTGGCATGGAGAGCTTATTGTTTGTCATGATATCGTTTCTTGGATTTCTTTTCTTTTTTTTTGGGGGGGAGGGTGCTGAACTCTGGGCCTGGGCACTGTCCCTAGCGCTCTACCACTTGAGCCACAGCGCCACTTCCGGCTTTTTTCTTTTTGCTTATATGGTGCTGAGGAATCGAACCCAGGGCCTCATGCATGTAAGGCAAGCGCTCTACCACTGAGCCACCTTCCCAGCCGTTGGATTTCTTTTCTAATTGATTTTGTTAGAAATTATTTGAGGGGCTGGGATGTAGCTTCAGTGACAAAGCGCTTGTCTAGCACGTATAACATTCTAGGTTCCATCCTGGGTACCCCTCCCTCCACTAAAAAAAGAAATAATATTTAATTATTATTTGCCAGTCATGGAGCTTGAATTAAGGGCCTGGGCACTGTCCCTAAGCTTCTTTTGCTCAAGGCTAGCACTTTACCACTTGAGCCACAGCCCCACTTCCAGCTCTTTCTGTTTATGTGGTACTGAGGAATTAAACCCAGAGCTTCATGCATGCTAGGCAAGTACTCTACCACTAAGCCACATTCCCAGCCCAAAAGAAATTATTTTAAATATCTTATATGAGAATTTAAAAATTGTGTCTAATATTCAAAGTGCTGTATTGACTTGGGGACTCAAACACCATCAATTGATGCAATTGATGGTGCCAGTGTGAGTCACTGGCTTCTGGCCTTAGCCTTAAAAGTCGAGATTGGGAGGATCCCACTTCAAGGCCTTCAGAGACACAAAAGTTCATGGGATTATCCCCTCCTCAACACTGAACTAGACACGGTGTGTACAGGTAATCCTAGCTACAATAGTATTGTGTAGACTTTCTTTGCAAGTGCTATTCTTTCCAAGCCTATCTTGTATGAATGCCAGTTGTTGGGGGGAAAAATATTGGAACTGTTTCATTAAAAATGTTTTGGTCCTTTAGGAACTTGAAATCAGTTTTGTGGTTACTAAAAGTTAAATTTGCAGACTGTAACACTTTTTATTTTTTCCCCCTAGTGTTTGAAAGATGTGTGATGAACCTAAAACCATCAGACACAAGAAAACTTCTAATAATTTTGGGGGAAGCTTGTCTACACTCAGGCTGCAGTATTTCAGCAACTATGATTGGACAGTGGGCCTGGCTTATTTTTGTGCCTTATTTTTGATGGAGTGAAAAATTTGAGCCAGCAAAGCCAAATCCTAATAGCAGCATGCCTGGCTTCTTGCTGATTGCAGATAGGCATTTAAATGTGAACTTGAGATCAGATGTCTCTGTTACTTCCAGCTAATGTGGCATCATAGATGGTTCCTAAGCTTAAGTCTTTGATTAAAAATAGTCCACTAGTGTCTCTGCCATTAAATGTTATGTAAGTTTTATTCTTATGTATTCCCAATCTGCTTTCCATTTCTGTACAATCATACCCTTTTGCTAAGTAATTGAAGCATAAGGTCTTGCAATATTTAAATCACAAACTTAAGAAAAGGAATAAAACTAGTATTTTCCCAACCTCCTAACTATCATGATGTCTTACAGGTTAAAACACACACAAACACACACAGACACAAACACACAAACCCCAGTTAAATGATTTCTGAAACACCCAATTCAGCCTGGTGGTACATAGAGCTCGGTAAGGAGCACTTGCATAGCATGTGTGAGGCCCTGGGCTTGATCAGCAGCACCTCCTACACCCCTTCCTTCCTCTGTCTCCCCCACCTCCACAAATACCTGAGGATAATTTAGAAGAAAAGCTATATCCTTTTGACCATATACATAGTTAAAAACTTTGGATCTTTTTCTCAGCAGGTACCAGTTGTAAATAACAATGAAAGTAGGGGCCAAAATGCGAAACCAAAAATGAAGCAGCTACATGTAGATTTTTAGGTTGAATTGTAACCAAATATTGTGGCTTCATATGTATTATTTTATATTGTACTTTTTTTCATTGTTGATGGTTTGAACTTTAATAAGAGAAATCCCATAGTTTTTAATATCACCAACATAAGACCATTTGAACAGTGTATTCTAGAAAGCAATATACTAACTAAAGTAAATGCTTGTATATATTAAGATAGCTTTCATTAAGCCTTCTTCTGTAGTAACCTGTCAACTAATTAAAACTTAAAAGAGTAGGACTGGTAGTCAGAATGCTAGACTGAGGTAAACACTGATGCAATTATAGTTCTGATGCTGTCTGTGTTTAGCACTGTGTTTAGCCATGTTTATGCTACAAAAGTGCAATAACTAGCTAGTTAGTATTGCTGCCTCATTTAACTCCAAAGAGGAAAAGGATTTGATTAAGTGCATATATTTCTTTGTTATTCACATTGTCCTTTGCTTGAATTCAATGTCATGCAGATTTCTGTGGCTGCTAATTTCCTTTAGTTTGCATTAATTTCATTAACATCTTAAAGGAGAGCCAAACGTTTCCTGACCAGCTATGGCCCTTTAACTGCAGTAGTAAAAAAGAAAGGAAAAAATTTTGGGGAAAATTTGTGAGAACTTGCACTTAACATCAAGAATAAAGTTCTTTGTATTTGTACTTGATGCCTTAAGATAGTCTCTTCTCGAAGTTCTGGAAGACTTAAGATAGACAATAATATTACAATACTACTGAGTTTTTGTAGAATTGTTACATTTGATAATAAAATTTGCCTGCTTAAGCTCAATGTTTACATTCTTGTTGCTTGTTGAGAGGCCAAAATAAGTTGGCAGTGATTTCAGAAACTCTAAGGAAAACATCTGCTATCTGTTACTGGGAAACGAGTGTCAGTTCATGTTCCAAGAAAATTTAACAGTAAAAATAAGAAATCAGACCGCCCTGATCGATTACCTCCCAACTGTGTCAGGAAGCAATTTAGGACAGGAAATAGTCCAGGAATAGCGCCCTCAGCATTCCTGTGATTGGCCCCGCCTACCCCAACCTACAAGATGCTTACTGTGGATGATTTAACCTATCCTGTAACCGCTAAGCTAGAGTCCCTGCCCTACTGGAAATGATCATACCCCAGCCAGTGAGCTTCAGACAAGGTTTACCCGAGAGCCGCCCACCAATCGCATAACCAGTGTTGTAATGACCCGTCCCGTCTCTCCTGCCCCCCCCCCCCCCACTTCATACACAGTAAAAATGCTGCTGAAGGAAGGGTCGGGCTCGCAAATCCTGACCTGCAGAGTCGGAGGGTTTGGAGCTGTGCATTTACAGCGGCGAGGGCTTCCTGATGGTCTGTGGGGGGGATATCCTACGGCCTGGTCCTTCAGCTGGGGCTCGTCCAGGATCCCCCTAACCGGAGAGTTGGACACCGTGTTACTGTTCCGTTCCTGGGGCCTGTCACTCTGAATAGGCTGACGCACCTAGGTTGCCAGCCGGCTGTGGGTCCTGGAAGGCGTTCCAGGCCCTTCTGGAGGAGCATAGAGCCCCGCGTTGTGGAGGGCGAGGCCCTCGCTGGAGGAGCAGGGGCGCGGGCTCCTCGCTCGGAGTTCCCACGGGACGCTGCGGGTCGCGCCCGCGGGCTCCCGGCGGAGCCGCGTCCTGGTTTCAGATCGGCCTCCGGTGGACCCGAGGGACTTTGTCTTTCTGTGTGTCCGTCTTGTTTCTGTGTTTTTCGGTGATACTGTATCTGCCTCCGGTGGACCCGAGGGACTCTGTGTGTCCGTCGTCTTGTTTCTGTGTTTTTCGGTGATACTGTATCTTAGTGCAGCGGATAGATGGGGCAGACTGACACCACTCCCGCCACGCCTCTCTCCACGACCGTGGGAAAAAGAGAGCACGTGCTTTACGTGTAGCAATTCGGAAGAGTAAGCCAGTCACCTTTTGCAGCTCGGAGTGGCCCGCCTTGCACGTCGGGTGGCGGGCGGAAGGAGCCGTGGATCTTCACACCGTCCAGAGGGTGGCCAGTGTGGATTTCTCCCCAGACGCGAGGCCGCCCTGGCCAGATGCACACGCTCTGGGTCGGCAGGACCCTTGGATGAAAGCCTTTTCACTCCGGTTTCTACCACGCCAGGGGCCGACAAAGAGTCGCAGGGAGGCAACGAGGAAGAGTCTGTCCTCCCCGCCCCCCTCCTCCCCCCCCCTATCAGTTTCCGACACCTCCCAGCCCCGCAGCGGCGGGAGAGCTAGAGGGAGGGCACCGGGGCAGCCCTCCCCGGGTGAGGGAGACGCGGCAGCACTGGGGCGGGGCGGGGAAGGGCAGCGGCAGCGGCAGGGACCAGAGGGCGGGCGCCCGGGCGGTTCCCGCCAGTGCTGGGGGCCGCGGATCCCACTTCCACGGTACCGCCCTGCGCCCCACGGGACCCCCTGACGCAACGGGGAACCTTTGCCACGAGTGACTTATACAACTGGAGGACCCGAAGTGGCCGGCTTTCTGACACCCCTAAAGATGTGATTCATCTAGACTGTTCGGTTCACTCACCAGCCCACCTGGGACGTTGCCAGCAGCTGCTCCAGGCGCTGAGAGGGTTCCGGGGGTTGACGGGCCGCCTACCACTGACCCTGTGCTTACGGATCGCGCGCCCCAGCCCTGACCGGGACCACAACCCACAACCCACGGGAAGGTAAGGTGAGGCTCCGGGTCTCTCGCCGGCCCTCAGGGCGGGTCTCAGCGCAGCAGCTCGCAGGCCCACGAATTTGGCCAGAACAGGGCAGCCTTCTTAGAAAGCCTCGCGGAGGCTGATCGGCACACACCCCACGGATCCCGAGGCGCCCTGTCATTCGCGACTCAGGCCGCACCTGATATTAAAGGAAAGCTGCAGAAAGGACACCGATAGAATGAGAAAAGTTCACGAGACATGGAGGAGAAAGTATAGAACAGTGGAGAGACTAAGGAAGAGAAGCTGGAAAGAGAGGGGGCCGCGGAAAGATAGGTCAGGGGAAGGGGAAACGCCGGAGAAAGACGGGCCGAGTGCACACAGCCCGAACTACAGGCGGAAGGCGTCGCCCATCGCGATCTGGCAAGGGATACAGGTGAAGATGATGGCCAACGTGGGGGGGGGGGGCTGCGGAGAGACCAGTGTGTTTAAACAGGACTCGGCGAGAAACTGCCCTAGGAAATCAAGGCGCAGGACTCACGGGTCTGATCACAGTCCCCGCCGAGTGTTAGTCACTGGGGCGGAACTCAGCGACTATGGCGGACGGGGTTCGGCCCCCCTCCCCGAGCCCAGGGTAACTCTCAGAGGGGAGGGGACCCCCGAAGATTTCTTAGTGGATACCGGGGCTCAACATTCGGTTCTACTCGAGCCCCGGGGCCAGCTATCCGGAAAATCTTCCTGGGTGCAGGCGCTACCGGGAGGAACCAATACTCATGGACTACCCGAAGCACAGTGAACCTAGGCGTGGGCCGCGGATCCCACTCGCCCATGGTCAGCCCAGAGGGCCTCTACCCCCTATTGGGGCGAGACTCGCTCTCCAAAATTGGAGCTCAAATTCACTTCCAGCCGGGCGGGACTTCAGTTCTAGAGCAACCAGATCGCCCCATCCAAGTCACCCTTAGTCTGGAAGACGAGTATCGCCTGCACTAGCACCCGCCACCACCAGATGGCGACATAAACTATTGGCTACAGGCTTTCCCTGCGGCCTGGGCAGAAACCGGGGGCGTGGGGCTAGCCAGGCACCGACAGGCGGGTGCGTGGAGTTAAAACCGGGGCCCGTCCAGCTAGGGTCAGACAATACCCCTTGCCTTGAGAGGCCAGAATGGGAATTACCCCCCATATCCGGCGCCTACTGGAATTGGGTGTGTTACGGCCTTGCCTATCAGCCTGGAACACCCCATTGTTAGCGGTCCGCAAGCCACTGCCAGTTCAGGACCTGAGAGGTAAGTAAGCGGACTAGGGACCCGCACACCCTCCTCCGCGGGTGACCGATTACCTCGAGCTGTAATAAATGACTCTCGTGCATTTACATCAGCGAGATATCAGTGAGGGCTTCCTGATGGTCTTTGTGGGTGTGGGTGTGTGTGGGGGGGTGTCTATGGCCTGGTACTTCATTATTAGAATTACACTAAAGGGGGAAGGGTTAAGCACTTGTGCCTGAGGTGGCAGGGTGAATTCTTGAGTTGATCATAAGTTATTAAATCTATCAATGATAAATACATTCAAAATACTGGCCAAACAACCCTAGTGGTAAACCACCTCGGGGCACTCATTGTACTGGATGTCCAGGCTGGCTTTGAACCTCGACCCTCAGATCTCAGCCTCCTAAGTAGTGAGGATTACAGGCCTGAGTCACCACCACCCTGCTTCAGTCACTTTTTTATGCTTAAGTACACGTAGTTATAGCCAGTTAGGCACAAAATTTACCTGAGCATAATTTTGTCTGCTTCTGCCATCCACTGGACATATAGTGCTATAGGCTTTTCACAATCTGAATCTTAGCCAAAGAGTGCAAACTCAATATTCTAACAGGAACTTGAAAAGAATGATGGAGGCAGGGTGCTGGTGGCTCATGCCTGTAATCCTAGGCTGAGATCTGAAGATCATGGTTCAAAGCCAGCACAGGCAGCAAAGTCCATGAGACTCTGATCTCCAATTAACCACCAGAAAATTGGAAATGGTGCTGTGGCTCCAAGTGGTACAACACTAGCTTAGAGCTAGAAAGCTCAGGGACAGCACTCAGGCCCTGAGTTCAAGTCCCAAGATTGAAAAAAAAGAAAGGTTCTCAGAGTTTTGCCTGACAAGGTGGCTCAGTGGTAGAGTGCTTGCCTAGCATGCATGAATCCCTGGGTTCGATTCCTTAGTACCACATAAACAGAAAAAGCCAGAAGTGGCACTGTGGCTCAAGTGGTAGAGTGCTAGCCATGGGCAAAAGAAGATCAGGGACAGTGCCTAGGCCCTGAGTCAAGCCCCAAGACTGTCAAAAAAAAGAAAAAAATGATGGTATGGGTAGGGATACTATGGGGAATTGAACCCAGGGCCTTGTACATGCTATATAGGGCTTTATAATTAAGGTACATTCTCACAGCCCCCCCCCCCCCTCATTTTTTTCTTTTTTTTTGTTGGTTATGGGGCTTGAACTCTGGGCCTGGGTGCTGTCCCTGTGTTCTTCAGCTTAAGGCAAGCGCTCTACTGCTTGAGTCACAGTGCCACTTCCGGTTTTCTAGTGGTTTATTGGAGGTAAGAGTCTAATGGACGGGGCTGGGAAGGTGGCTCAGTGGTAGAGCGCTTGCTTTGCATGCCTGAGGCCCTGGGTTCGATTCCTCAGCACCACATAAGCAAAAAGAAAAAAGCCGGAAGTGGCACTGTGGCTCAAGTGGTAGAGTGCTTGCCTTAAGCTGAAGAATACAGGGACAGCACCCAGGCCCAGAGTTTATGGACTTTCCTGCCAGGGCTGACGTTGAACCGGGATCCTCAGATCTCAGCCTCTTGAGTAGCTAGGATTACAGGCGTGAGCCACCAGCACCTGGCCCCCCCTCTTCTTTTTTTCAGACAGGTGACACTAAGTTGTCCAGGCTAGCCTCAGAATTGTATTCCTACCTCAGTCTCTCCAATAGCAGGTAAGACATATACAACTACACCAAGCCAAATAAAAATGCTATCATGATTAATTCTGAATTTTTACTGTATTATTAAAAAAAATGTAGCTAGGTGCTAGTGCTCACATGTATAATTGAAACTACTCAGGAAGTTGATACCTCAGGGTTGCAGTTCAAGGCCAGCTAACTGCAGTTCAAGTTGGCTA